TCAACCTGCAGACATGTGGCTTTGTTTAGGAGCGTGCTGACTTAGCGTCCCTCCATCCTGCCCCCCTGCTGGGCGAGCGGTGCCAGAGTCCCACAGGAAAACACGGTTTACTCTGCTCTGCTTACTCACCTGACTGAGAAACCGCTTCAGGGAACAGCCTCTGTGTTTAGGAAGCATGAGCATAAAGTTGTTTTAAGCTTCTTGGTTTTTAGAGCGTTGTTTCATAAATAAGACTTGAAATGCTGAAATACTCGGAAGTGTTAACTTAATGTCAGCAACACGTTTTTTTTTTAAGTTGCTACATTGGCTACACTCGTCACAGGATCTCCCATCAGATTGGGTTAACTGGCATCAGACCAGTAGCATGAGTGGGAGAGAGGACGAGTCTTTCCGAAGATTAGAGACGTGAGAGGTTCATCATACTGTGAAAGCCTGAGTGGGAAGGTAGTTTAACAAATTATGAACAATGTTATTTTTTAGAAAAATTAGAAAGGATTTGGGGATTTCACAGATAACAGAACATAATATTATTTAAAGATTCGGGGAAGTCTCTGTACACAAGGAAAAAGGTCAGAAAAACAGTATGAAAAGGTTGTGATCTTCAGGCCCTGAGGTAACATTACACTGAAAACAGACGTGGCTTTGTAGTGGAAATCACTGCGTGGACTGTCTGTGTGCCCCAGAACCCAAAAACAGACCTTCCTGTGAGGTCCTCGCCTTCTTTGGGTGTGAGTTTGTTTAAGATGAACTGATGATAACAGAGGCAGAGTGCATCTATTTCAGAGATTGCTGAGGCGGCGTCACCTCGAGCTGGGCTAACACAGAGTCAGTCTATTTATCATGTCATCATCAGTTCACCTGACGCCTTTGGACCGTCGAGGAAGCTGGAATACCCAGAGGGAAATGCCTCATTTCATTCATGTACTGTGAGGCGAACGTGCTGATCACTGTGCTGCCTCAAAATAATAATAAATAAATATAAATATTATACATGCAGCTCATCCAGCTTGATATGAGTGCACAGCTCAAAAGCCATCATTTCTACCATATGTTGGAGGATTAGTGCACGTGGCCAAGTACGGATATCCAAGGGAATCATGGAAGGTCTTTTTATTTCAGCAAGACAGCACTGAGCCACTTCTTTAAGTTTTAAGTTTTTCTTTCCAAGCTCCTTAGACTAAAGGTTTGATAGGTAAACTAGTTATCCTAATTTATTGATTTATTGATCTTATTATTTATGACAGCAGCCCTTTTTTTTCATAAACTATCCCTCAATACATCCATTTTTATTCATCTTTTTAAACTTGGATGCCCATATCCTCCATATGTCCCTCGAGCTGATTACCTGGAAGATCTCAAAGTTTTCCTAGATGATATTTATGAAGTTTGTCATCTAAATATTGG